ATCACAGTAGAATGCACTTATATACTTTGATACATCATACATAGATGGGATATAATTTCTCATTTTCCTGATTATACATATTGTAGAATCACATTGGTCATACAGTCACATATATACATAAAGTAATAATGTCTGTTTCATTCTACTATTTTTCTTATAACACATCTACTTTTGTTAGCATCTGCCTGCTATATTTTTGCCTGTCTCTTCATAATCAATGACATTACTTTTAAATTTATCTTTTGCAAATAATATATAATTAGATTTTGTATTTTTCATTAAGCTTAGGGATTCCAGAATTTAACTTATTCACACTTACTGTGAGAAAAGAACTTGGTCTTTTTACTCATGGTTTTGGATTTTTTTTCTTCTTTCCATCTTTTGGCAGATTTTAAAATTCAATTCCATTTCCTAGTCATTTAGTAGCTATTAAACTTGTCGACATGTATTTGGTTCTCTCTCTCTCCTTCTCTTGCCATGTGGCAAGTCTGAACTTCATTATTCTATTAACTCAGGCATGGCTATGTGACTTTCTTTGGCCAGTGAAATGTGAGTAGTGATAACATTCACTACATCTAGGTAGAAGCTTTGAAGTCACATTGTATGTTACATCCATACTCTTTCCTTGGGCACAACAAGGAATGTTCCACATAATGTTCTACCAGGCTGGCTCTCAAAATTGAGGGTGATATCCAGTAGGAACGCTAGACAATTTGTCAAGTAGCATAAACACAAATAAAACTATGTTGGAAATGAAGATTTGGAGGTTGTTACTGAAGCATCACCTAACTTTGCTAGTATACCCTTAACTTTATTTTTCTATCAACACCAAGAATAAAACCTTATCTCTATCCTGCCCTTGAATATTACAACCTCCTGCACGTTTTCACTTCCTATATCCTGCCCTGTCTCCATCCATGTTATATTTTAGTTAGACTTTTTCACATATGCATAAGTATTTAACCTTTTATAACCTTTTTCTGTTAAAGGGGATTAGCAGGTCACCAAGACAAGGGGTTTTTCTTATCTCTGTTCATCAGTTTCCTTGAATTGAAAATCCATTGTTCAGTTTGCTTAGTTATATAGTTATGATGTAAAGTCTCATACCAACTTGATATTTGTGTTGTGTCATTAATTCAACAAATATATGTCAATTCTGTTCTCCTAGGATTCTCTCCCTTTTTGTAACCAGTTTGCTTCAGATTTGATGATTCTTGGCTATTCCTATTTATAGATGAGGGCCACAGATTAAACCATGAAGTACTTTTCCTCAGCCAAATGAGGATACTGGTTAATTTTCAATGAATACAAACTCTAATTTTAGGGACCTCTGGCAATTATAAAGGGAAGTGGCAGGGTAAGATAGCAAAAGAGTGTGGGTGGGAACTTCAGTTCCTTCTTGTAGTCATTTTGGATAATGACCTTATTCTCCAATCCCAAAGTTGCCTAGGTCATAACTTCCATTTGAAATAGCGCTTAATTAGTTCTGGTTATCAAAATCCAGAATTAGATGCTCCAAATTGGAATAGCTTAGCTATTCCACATATTATCTAACTGGTCCTTCAATAATCTGCCTTTTAGTCTTCTAGAAATACCATATTATTCATTTTCTGGTTTTCCAACTCTGCTATTAATTTTAAAAAAAGTTTTAACACTTCTCCAGTCATTTCAAGACGATTCTGGAAGAGCAGAAGAATGTGTTAAGTCATATAAATATATCATATTATATACAAGTTCCTGCATGTGGTATGTAATCAAATTAAAAAAAAAAAACAGTCATCTCCTATCTTGCTGATTCTGTGAAAATCAAGTGTTAGACTCTAAGGCTAGAGATTATAACTACCCTTTTGAAATTAGACTGATTAGAAAATGAAGGCACTTCTTTTAACTTCCATTTTCCACCTTTATCTCCATCCACACTAACCAGTCATCTTCCAACTCTAACAGTACATAATTATTTTTTATGTATTTTGTGATGTGACCTTATCTGATTTTTAATCTCTATTTCCCAGATCTTAAGAACTTGTTGCCCTGATGTACGCAGATGAGCCACCTCAAATCCAGAAACCAAATCTCCATCCTCATCTGTTCAGATCTATTGAAGTCTTATAAGCATATATTATGCTCCACCTTATCTGAGATCCTGCTACATACATGGTCCTCTTTTTCAATTAGTTCTTTCCTGTCATCCCATCAAATTCAAATAAAGAATTTGTCTTTAGCTGTTTCCTCTTCTTATCCAAACTCCTTCAAAGAGTAATCTATCTTGTCTTCTCTGCCCCCTCAGGACAGCCCTGTCCCATCCACTTACTGTAATTTTTCCATCAACCAATTCATTGAATTGCCCTAAGGTCACCAGGATTTAACTGCCAAAATCCAATGAACACTTCTTTATAGCATGGTATCATATTTTTTTTCTTTCTTCTTGAAACACAATCACTTATATCTTTCAGAATCCTTTCTTTGCTTGTCATTTAATGTCAGTCCCCACAATTCCTGGCAATCTCATCCACTTTCATATTAGCTACTGTGCTGATTGACTTTTTTCTTTCTTTTCATGTCTTCATTTACTCATCAAAACATCTACCAGTCACCTCCTCCTGAATTCTACAGGTGCTTTACAGCTCACCATGTCCGAAACCAAACTCTTTTCTCCAAAGCAGCTGGAAACCAAAGCAGTTTGGTTATTTTCAACCTTGACACCACCACCCAATCTTATGGAGTACATACTGCACAAAGGATGTACATACCGCTCCTACTTCAAAATTGAGGGTGATATCCAGTAAGATAACTGCAGTAACAAACTGCTGTCTTATTTCCTAAGATTCAAGCTTATTTCCTTCCTTCATCATACTTTATTTCAAATCTTTCTCCTCTTACTATGGCTAACTCAGAAGTTATCAAATTGTATAACCAGTTGCTAGGAACTCCTATTTTAAAAGGACTCTATGTAATCAAACATTTTTGAGAATGGCTGCACATAAAAAAAAAAAAAAAAAAAAAAAAAGAAGGAAGGAAGAAAGAAAGAGACGTTTTAAGAATTGGGGATTGAACCCTGGGGCACTTTACCACTGTGTTATTCCCCAGCCCTTTTTAAGACAAGGTTTCACTATATTTTTTAAGGCCTCACTAAGTTGCTGAGGCTGGCCTTGAACTTGTGGTCCTCCTGCCCAAGTCAATGGGATCACAGCCATGTAATATCATGCTCAGCTACAATATGACTATCTTATTAAAGATTTAGAATGAATACTGCCCTATGTTGTGCTGAGAAGTCCTACAGTGAAGAAACCAGCTTAAGGGAATAAAGATATGGCTCAGGGTGGAGTGTTTGCCTGGCATGTGTGAGGTGCACTGCAAAAAAAAAACAACACAACAACAAAAAACAGCTTAGTTTTATTTAAGCCACTATATCTCCATTACGTTTTTCCACAAAATACTTTCAGTAGGGGTAGGACAGTAAGTGGGAGCTTAAGTTCTTTAATTAAAAACCCACCATTTGTAGTGATACAAACCTATAATTCCAATGATTCAGTAGACTGAGGCAATAGATCATAAGTTCAAGGCCAGCCTGGGCAACTTAGCAAGAACCTGTCTCAAAAAATAAAAAAGGCTGGGAATGTAGCTCAGTGGTAAAGCATCCCTGAGTTCAATCCTCAATACCAACAAATGAATTAATAAAAATTTAAAAAAATTCTCCTCAGAAAAGAAGAAAAATAATCTCCATGCTTCTTTAGTCTATCTTCCATACTAAGTGATCTAATTTGCAAACCTAGGACTGTCATTTCTGTTCTCTATTAGCTCATTATTTCCTGAGGAAAGAGAACTAGTTTCAGGCAACATGGATTGTTAAGACCAGGTCTCATCCTCTTGGGTGTCTACTTGAATGTCACATGTCATTGTCTGATGACATTCCAGGAACTCTAAACTACCTGTTTTTGTGGTTCTCTTCATCTCCTATTCACCAGCTTCTAACTAGTTTAAGACTTAGCTTATGTATCCAAATGATCTCTTCTTAGATAAAAACATGACCTTAGTCTCATATTATATAATCTTTCTCACAGCTTCCTTTTTTCCCTACACATTAAATTCACTCAGTATTCCCACCATGGAATGGAACACAGAGTTTTAAAATATCATCTTGAGTCTCTCCACCCCACATACTATTAAAGGGCCAAGATTAATGGATTCAAGAGTATTGTAGTAGTCCTTTGATAACATACAGGAAGGACTGTTTAGGAGAAATCAGACACTCAGCTTTTCTCTTATCAGTCTGGTTGTTCTACAGGATTTATCCGTGCATATTTTACTGAGGAGGGATGATTTAGTCTAGATATGTGGTCATATTTACATACTCTGCCTTTGAAAAAGGCTGGGGTAAGGGACAGATATATTTTCTGATAGCCCCCCCCTCTTTTGTACCTCTAGTGCTCATTGGCTTTTCTCTCGCCATCTCTGCTGTTTCTCTCCTAACAGGGAAAATGGATAAATGAATAAGAGCACTGGTTCTGGTTCCAAACCCAGCTGTACTGTTTATATCTGGACAACTTTGGGCAATTCACAGTCTCCTCAAGTTCACCTACGGAATGCGCGTAACAGTAGTTTACTCCTGTATAGGGCTGCTGTAATCCATAACATGGTTGGTTAAGTACCTAAGTACAAGTTTGTTGCTCTGGTTATAAATTAGGACATGTCAAATGACCTCTGGCCATGTGATTTGCATTTCTACATTTAACTTAACTTAATCTCATCCCTTTCTAGTCCCCTTCCCCTGCATTGTTGCTGTCCTTTTTCTCCCTCCACACAGTATTAGTTCCATAAGGGTAAAAGCTTTGCTTTCTTTGTTGCTGAAAGCCACAGTACCCAGAATAGTATTGTAAACATTTGTTGAATGAACAGTGCAAAGTATCAAAAGGGAAAATATGCCAGAATCTTCATTATGATAAAAAGCATAGATAAATATTCCTTTAATGGCTTCCATTCCTATATTTTAAGACACCATATGCCATAATAAAAACATAAGAAAATTTATTAAAATTTGAAGGTAAAAACATAATTTCAGAAGGTTTAGACCTAGGTCAAGCGTGATAGAGAATGGATGCTCTCTTGAACTTCAAAATCAGATCCAAGAGTATCACTTTCAGAATGTTCCAGTGGATTGGATTTACTTTTATTTGTCTTGGATGAAACAGTCACTATTCTACTTTCTTTCTTGACAGAAATGTAGTTTTTTGAAGACTCACTTTTAATTGACTCATGAACCAAAGACCTATTTTCCCCAATTCCTTTGCTTTTCTGGTTTATAAAGGAGTCAGAATAGGAATGCAGGTCCTTCCCAGGCTGTTTCTTGGCAAAGTGTTTTTTGGTACATTCACCTGCTTGGGTCATTTTCTCTGAGGGTGAACTGCTATTTCTAGATAATTCCTCTTCTTCTCTTTGATTTCCAGTTCCAGAAATCATATCTGCTAAAGGAGAACATGTTCTCGCCATGAATCCTTCAAAAGATTCCTGCCCCTGCTCAGAAGCTGGGTCTCCCAGGTTGTCTTTGGAAGTTCCTGAGGCCTCCTGAGTAGAAACTGGGACATGGTAGGAGTCAAGAGGCAAAGGAATTCTAGCATCACCTGTGATTTTCTGAAACTGGAAAGGAAAACACAAAATTCAGTCAGAAACAAAGCTAACCATTAAAGAGTGCAGAACTTGAGTGTAATTCTGTAATCTTGTTGTTAAGCCATCAGTTGATTGCTCAGAAGATTTGAGTCATTTTTCCCCACTAATTGTATCTATGCAAATGACTCCACACTCAAAATGTGCTATATTCAGAGTTAGGTCTAGAACGTTTTCAGATTTTGTGTTTAATGTAATTACTGTCCATTTCCCTTTCCCTCCTTCAAAAACAGCAACAAACAAACCTAAAACAACACCTATTTCCTAAGAAAATGAATTTATTTTCTATATACCACATGCATGTAAGTAGTATCCAATGTGTAACTCAACTGAGTTCTCAAACTGTCAGATCCTGAGAAAAGTCTGAGATTGGTTGATGAGAGATGGGGCTCCAGGTAAGGCAGGGGAAAAGCAGCAGGGGAGTCCTGTGGCAGACAGGTTTTCCCCTCCCATTCCCATCACCAGTGGCTACCTACAATATATTGCCTTTTAGTTATATCTGGAATACTTATTTTTTAAAATTATCTATCAGTATTTGTACCTTCATTATTGTTCCTTCATTGTAAGCTGACTGCATACAAATAGAAACCTAGATGAAATGTGAATAAAATAGACATTTACAAAATTTAAAATTTAGAGTATTTTCTCTAATCTTTCCTTCTTTACTGAAGACAATCTGCTTTAAATCATAAACTGTCAAAATAAGTTTCTTATTTACAATATAATATTATGAAATGGACCCAAACTTACTAATCTCAGACATGGAAAGGACCCTAAAGAGGCTTCTGGTCCCCCAGCTTGGGAACTGAGAAACAGTTCTCATTTTCTCTCTAATTGAATAATCCCCTTTTTACTAATCATTCTTTGATCATTAAGTTCTGCCCACTTACTTGGATATTCTGCATTTGTCCTAGGGCATTTTGCTTTGGATCTGTTTTTTCTTCTTCAAGTGCCTTCTTTTCTTCTTTAGGTGCACTACTAATAGTAGAATTCATCTGAGGACGATCTAGTAAATGAAAATCTGACTGATCTATACCAGCCATTGTGGCAAGTTGCCCAAGCCTGCATAAGAGGAACAAACGAGAAAGAAGTAAGGGTTACTGTAATCTCATCAGAATAACTCGGATTTCCCTACTCTTACAAGCACGAAATATTTGTATAAATGAATACTAAGCTTCTAAGATCTTAGAAGCTATTATCTTACTCCAGATCATAACCCCCATCTCTCTACATTTCTCAGATCTTCCCCTATTCATGCTTGGGGTACATACTGGATCTCCAATCCTTCCTGTACTCCATATTCTCTACAACTTTGTATTAATATCTTTTGACTTTATGTCCTTAGCATCACTCCTCCATTTTAAGCTCTAACTTACCAGGGGCACTTTGTGCCTCTTATCCCCATACATTTTACCACTTTTCCTACGATTTCTAAGAATGTGAATATTTCCACTATCAACCCATTCACGTACAAAATATCACTCATCAACTATCTCCAACTCTTTCTTTTAGCAAAATTATTCCTGGTTTAGAACCACCAATCGATATTTGTATCTATATCTATCCTGGAGATTAATAAGCATTACAATAGGACAAAAATATCAATTTAAACTTATTCAACAAGAAAGATGAATAAAAGGCAAGAAAATTTCTACACAGTCCTGAATATTTTCAATTATAATTGCCTTTAATTTAGTCTGTGCCAAGAGTTATACCTACCGATTACTACAGCACTACTTTTTTACGATGGGCTCTCTACCAAGGCAGAATTGCCATTTTGCATTTTTTTAACAACTAATTTTTCATGTAAAAAAACAAGTATATTATCATTACACACTAAATATAGCTTACAGAGCTCTGAAAATCACTCAGGTTCCTTAGCAAACTATGATTAAAATCATGGAAGGAAAAATGTCCTAGACAGAAATAAACTAACCCAGCATCTTTAAGGAGATCCAAGAAAGCGTGAAATTTCTGAAAAGAATTCTCAATACTGCCCAAAACACCTTCATCATCCAGGATCATGCTTGCCACGGACTGTGAATGAAGGGCTTCAGACAAAGTGAGATTTATATTTCTTAACTGGGCATTTTCATGTTCCAGCTACAAAAGAAGGTTGAAAGTGTGTGACACAATTTTCATACATTTTTTGTAATCTAAAGAAAAAATTTTAAGTAACAAAACTAAAATAAAACATTTAAAAAATATAATTAATTTGTAATTAATGTAAGTCTTCACAGTGATGACAATAAAGAGTAAACAGATCAAAACTTGGAAACATCTGGGCACTGCAGCACACACCTATAATCCCAGCAGCTTGAGAAGCTGAGGCAGGAGGATCCTGAGTACAAAGCCAGCCTCAGCAACTTAGTGAGGCCCTGTCTCAAAATAAAAAAGGACTGGAAATGTGGCTCTGTGGTTAAGTACCCCTAGGTTCAATCCCCAGTACCAAAAAACAAAAACAAAAACCAACCAAACAAACAAACAAAAAAAACAACTTGGAGACATTTGACAAAATTTTCTGCAAAACAGGAAGTTATTATTTCATTAATAATATTTCAAAAGATCATTAACTGGTTACATTTTTATACCAGATCATTCTACACTAGAAAATTAGGTGCCTAAGATTTTCTTTTAAATTAGAAAACGAGGGGTTGTGGCTCAGTGGTGGAGAGTTTGCCTTGCATGCGTGGGCACTGGGTTTGATCCCCAGCATCACATAAAAATAAACAAACAAAATGAAGGTACTGTGTCCATCTACAACTAAAAAAACCAAAATTAGTAAATTAGAAAACAAAATATAGAGACTGATTTGAGCAAAGTCTATTATAATTCTGCTAAATGTTAAGGATTAATCAAGTTGAGAGTAATTTAAGATTTGGAAGTCATGTTAACTTGTTAACTGGTAACGACCAATACTTGCAACCTCCTTGTTGGCTTCTTGAAAATATTTACTCCCCTGCATGCTGCTGCCTCTCATCATATACTTATCTAAAACCACACACAAACCCAGCACTAATTTCTCAGAAAGACCATTTCTTTGCAATGTAATTTTTGCCTCATACAATCAGGTGTTCAATATTTCTTAATTGACTAAGTGTCCTTCAATCTAATGCATTACTATCAAAAATTCCTCCCTATACTCTTTGTACAAATTATATTTATATTATTATATATGTTTATAAAAAATGTTCTAGCTTTCATGCATCTTAGTCTAATTTAGTACTCTATATAGTATAGATTTTTATCTGTCATTGCATTTGTGGCTGTTTCCACTATCTTATACTTAAATTACTCATTTTATGCTACTGCACATGCAGTATAAGCCTAATAAGTCCATTTCATGTGTCAGAAAATAAACTGCAGTCATATAAAGGCCTAGAGACAAATAAGAGACTACAACTTACTTTAAATATAATTACATGACACTAAATATAAATAAATACAAAGATTAAAATAATACAACCTACTACAGGGATGCAGGCACATCAATGTTTATAAGAGTTCAATTCACAATAGCCATGCTATGGAACCAACCTAAGTGCCCTTCAACAGATGAATGGATAAAGAATATGCGGTATATATACACAATGGAATATTAATCAGCCATAAAGAAGAATGAAATTATGGCATTTGCAGGTAAATGGATGGAACTATAGAATATCATGCTAAGTGAAATAAGTCAGTCCCAAAAAACCAAAAGCCAGAAAAAAATGTTCTCTCTGATATGTGGATGCTCATCCATAACAAGGGAGAATAAGGTGGGAAAGTATAGCAGTTCATTAAATTAGACAAAGGGGGATGAAGGGAAGGGAAGGGAGGGGAGATGGGTATAGGAAAGACAGTAGAGAACTGGACGTAACTTTCTATGCTCATATATGAATACACAACCAATGTAACTCTACATTATGTACAACCACAAGAACGGGATCAAAATTGTAATGGATTGCACCCTATGTATGTGTAATGTCAAAATATACCTACTATCATGTATATCTTAAAACAACAAATAAAAAAAATACTCATATATGTCAGCAAATACTGTCAAGAACAAATACAGGTATGACATCAAAATAAAAAAGCTTATCCATAAAAAAAATAATGGAACCAATTTGCAATCACTATTATTTTCTTACTTTAAACTATATTTAAAAGTTTACATGTTATGTATGTATATATGGCTTAGAATTAAATCAAACTCAAACTAAAAAACAAAAAACTTTCAGAATTTAAAACTTATTTACCTCACTGACTCGTTTATCAGCTTTAAGCCTTATTACTCTTTCCTCTTTTAACTGCTTTAGGCACTCCTCCAGTTTTCCCTAGAATGAAAAGAGTAAATATTATAATTCATTCATACTATGATCTCTTATCCCAAAGCTCTTCCAGTTACAGATTCCACCAAGTATTTAGGGGCAGAGCTGGAATTACAGAATACTACTTGTGATATCATACCACACTAATGAAATTAATTAGCAAAACAAACCAAATTAGCATGGTACAATTTATTTAAATCCCACTGTTTCCAAGACATTTGTGGCAGTTCACCCTAACTAAGGTGTATACATGATCTAGTTAGTGATCATGTACTTTTCATAAATGAAAAGTAAAGGCCATGAAAGGAAAATTCTGTTCTTATTTGTGAGTCCCTCATAATAGGAAACTTTTTTTTTTTTTTTGGTACTGGGAAATCTGGACCACTGAGCCACATCCCCAGCCCTATTTTGTATTTTATTTAGAGACAGGGTCTCACTGAGTTACTAAGCGCCTCACCATTGCTGAAGGTGGCTTTGAACTCTCGATCCTCTTGTCTCAACCTCCCGAGTCTGTCAGGAAACTATTAACATGCTTTGTAATTGCAAACTACAATGCATTTTTAAAAAGTAAACACTTTCAAAGCACTTTATCATATGTCAAGCATTGTTCCAGATACATGAAGAGTTTTCTTGGTATTATCTAATTGAATTATCAAAACCTTACAAGTAAAGTACAATTATTGTGTTATTTTATTCATAAGAAAACGAAGGAAAGGAAAAGTAGTTTAACACACTCAAGATCACGTCATTAGTTAAGTAGTAGAGCCAGGTTTGAATTAAGGAAGTTGGGTGCCAGTCTTGGTCACAAATATGGTAATCTTCTCCTTCATCAAGGTCAAAAAAATAAAATGCAAATGGGTTAACTCCTTTATCATCTTCAGGAACTAAGACTCCTTGAAAGTAGGGGTCACTACTTATGGTAGGCAGAACCTTAAAATGACCCCCGAAGAATCCTTTTGCTGGGGTACCCTCTTGCACCTCCCACTATTAATCAAACACTTATCTAGGTGTTGCTTTGAAGGGAAGCAATTAAGATCCCCAAAGCAATTGATCTTAAGATAAGAAGATTACCCTGGGTGGATGTGACCTAATCAAGCAACCAATTAAAAGGGACCAAGCTCTTCCTGATAAAAGATATCAAGTAAAAAAGGAATTAGACACAAAGGAAATTCTCCATTGCTGGTTTCTTTTGAAGTATGATGATGTAGCAAAGAATGCAAGGAGGGGATGGCTAACAGTTGAGACAGTCCCCAAACTGACAGGCGGCAAGGAAATGGGATCTCAGTCCTAACTACAGAAAGGGAACTGCTTTTTTTCGTCGCTGTTCTTTAGGATTTTTTGTTTGTTTTTGGTACTGGGGATTGAACCTGGGGGCCCTTTACCACTGAGCTACATGCCCTGTCCATCTATTTTTATTTATTCTGAGACAGGATCTAAGATGCTGAGGGCCTTGCCAAGTTGCTAAGGTCCCAAGTTGCTGAGACTATAGGCAAGTGAATTATGTATACATGAATAGAAGAAGGTTCTTTACAGAGCATTCATATGATAACACAGCCTGACTGACACCTGGGCCTCAGCTTTATGCTCTGAGCAGAGATGCTTATCATGTCCTACCCCAGACTTCTGACTGATAGAATTGTGAGCTAATAAGTGAGTACTGTTAAAAGCCACCAAGTTTATAGCGATAGAAAATTAATATACAACTCAACCCCCAGGTTCATAAACAAAATAAATGACTACTGCTGTTTTAAGCCACTAGTTTGGAGTGGTTGTGCAACACTAAATGAACAGAACATGTATGTTTACTAAAACAACAGGATACATTTTTATTTTAAAGGCTTTGAATATTCACTTAAACATAGTTTCAACTTTAGGTTTAACCCTGCTTTATGTGTTGAGTGGAGATGCTCTACTACAAGTTGACATTAGGAGAGGAAACTGATTTAGCATTTTCTGGAGTAATCTCTAGATTATACCAACAATTTTCTCTGATTTCCCACAGGAAATAATCACAAATGTGGGCAAGGTGAACTATCAACATAATGTCAGAGAACTAAAACAAAACCCTAGAAGCAAAAGTTTCCAAACTGTAATTAATAAAACAAAAATAGCACATCCATATGAAGGAACATTCTATGAAGCCACTAAAAAAACAATGATATAAAGATCTCAATCAGAGTTACTAAATGGGCTTTAGAAGTACCTTTAAAAATTTTCTGCATTTTTTCTTTGAGAGATGGTTTATAAGGTTAAACATATTCTCTGAAGAGTATTCAATGACAAAATATTTTGATACTTCCTTTTTTTTTAAAAAAAGTGTAGATTATAAAATATTCATATGTGCTGGGCATAGTGGTGCATGTCTTGATTTTTTATGATCTACCCTCTTTTTAAAAAAAATATTTTGTTATGTAATCCCAGATTACAAATTCAAGGCCAGCCAGAACAATTTAGCATGATCCTGTCTCAAAATTTAAAAAATTGGGGGCTGGGGCTCAGTGGTATACAGTGCCTGCCTAGTACGTGTGAGGTGCTGGGTTCAATCCTCGGCATCACGTAAAAATAAATGGAGGTGTTGTGTCCATCTACAATTGCAAAAACATATTTTTTTAAAATTTTAATTAAAAAGGACTTGGAGATGTGGCTCAGTGGTAAAGCACCCTTGGATTCAATCCCCAGTACCAAAATAAAAAAATAAAATAAAATTCATAAAACCATGCATAAATGGTTTTCCTTTAAATTTTTCATTATACTCAAATTTTTCCTTAATAAGTATATACGTTTATACTCAGAACATGTTTGAAAATAAGTAAATGCTCTAAAAACTTCAAATTGTTTGTTTGTTTCTTTTCTTTTCTTTTTTGGTATTGGGAATTGAACTCAGGGGTTTTCTATCACTGAACTACATCCCCAGCCCTTTATTTTTTGAGACAGGGTCTTGCTAAGTTACTAAGGTTTGTCTGAAACTTGCTATTATCCAGTCTCAGTCTCCCAAGTAGCTGGGATTATAGGTGTGTATCACTGAGCCCAGTAGTAACTTCTGATTCTTTAATGTTAAAGCCAACCAAATATTTATGGCAAAAGGGAAAAAGAAATTTCAGAATGCCTCTTCTTACTATTCATATAATGGTTTTAATACTAAAAACTGACACTGACATTTAAGCAATGATGCAAACAAACAACAACAAAAATCTCTCATCACTGGAAAGAGATTAAACTTTTCCATTCTTGACTGGTTCTATATAGAACACCAAAGTACAATTACATGAAATAGTTTCTCCCTCTAGTGGAATTAAAACATAATGTCCCATTTTCATGAAAAAGTAATACCCCTTTGTCCTAACCACTCCTTTAGGAGTAATTCATGCTCCTTGAAGAAAATAGGGACTGTGGAACAAAAAATTACAAAGTAAAATCACTCAACAAAATATTCTACTAACTTGTATTCGTACTATCAAATCCAAGTGGATTCTTCTTTCCTGTCATACACCAATGGTAGTTTAAAAATCTGCCCCAGTATAGTCTGCTTTATGTTTGTGTCAACAGACCTTTCTCCTCCTCTGGAGTTTGATGTCCTTCTTCCTTCTCAATCTTCCCTCCTCCCTTCTAACTGTGCTTAATACATGGTAATGTGCTTCAAGTTTCATTAAAGCGCTCAATCACACAATCACTGAAAGTTACAAATCTAGACTGGTTGTTCCATACTGAATTCATCTTCCTTTTGGGTTTATTCCCCAATTTTGCTGGATTACATACATTTTTAAATAAGGAAAGCTGTAGCATAGGAGATAAATTTTCAAATTTGTTAATGTACAAAATATCCTATTCAGCCACCACTTAAGACTGACAGCTTGGTTACATACAAAACCCTAGGTACAAAATTATTTGCCTTTAAAACTTTGAAGTATCTTTCCAATGCCTTCTGGAATCTATAATAGATGATAAGAAGCATGAAAAAGGTTAATTTTTATTCTTTTTTAGAAATTTAACTTTTTTTTTCTTTTTGAAATGTCTTTCCTCACTGTTTTAAAATTTCACAATGAAGAGTGTCTAATTATACGTTATTATTGCTGTATGTATATAGGTGACTGTATGACCAATGTGATTCTGCAACCTGTACAATCAGAAAAATGAGAAATTATACCCCATTTGATTCAAATGTATGAATTGTCAAGATCATTGTACTGTCATGTATAGCTTAAAAAAAAAAAAAGAGTGTCCAATTATATAAGTCTATCTTCATTCATCCTGTTCAACACAGGGTAGTCCTTTGCAAAACACCTGGGACCTTGATTTACTGTTAAGAGACATTTTCTTGCTTTTGGAGGGATAATTTCCTTCTCTCCTGACCAGAGATTTCAGCCCTTAATCTAAAATATGAAATGCTTCAAAGTGTGAAAGCTTTTAAGCACCAACATAGTGCCACAAGTAGAAAATTCTACATCTGACTTCATGTGAGATTGCAGTCAAAACACAGGCTGGGGTTGTGGCTCGGTGGCATAGCACTTGCCTAGCATGTGTGAGGCACTGGGTTCAATTCTCAGCATTGCATATAAATAAATAAAATAAAAGTCCATTGACAACTTAAAAAAAACCCACAGGCATATCAAAAATACTGTATAAACTTATCTTCAGGATTTGTGTATAAGATGAATATAAAATGTAAGTAACTTTTGTGTTTTGAGACTTAGGTCTCAGTTCCAAGACATTTTATTATATTTGCATATATATGCAAACATTCCAAAACAATATGAGACCTGAAAACACTTCTGGTCCCAAACATTTCAGACAAGGTATAGGTAACATGTAGTAACATGTTAGACCTCACAGACACAGCCTCAAGACCATATCATTTGTCATATTTTCCATTTCTTTGTTTTCCATATAATGAGAAATAAGTTTCCTTAACACCTATTGAATTTATTTCAACAAATGTACACATATTTGGGGCACTCTACCACTAAGCTATATTTCTAGTCCTTTTTATTTTGAGACAGGGTCTCACTAAGTTGTGGGGCCTGGCCTTGAACTTGTAATCCTTCTGCTTCAGTCTCCTGAGCTATTGGGATTACAGGTATGTGCCACCACACATGACTCAACAATAATATTTTAACCTCCAGAGACCTTTCTTGCTTTCTGAAAGTTCCTTTTTAAACTATACCCTATTATTATTTTATAGATGCCTTTTTCCTAAAATATTTTTGTTCTCAATTATTTCTGGCCCTACCAGGATGCATTTTTCATCTTGTTTTTCCCCTGTCATGTAAGTTTTATTGAACCAGCTGGTGAACCACAGTTATTTTGTATTTAAGAATAAAAGAGTAGAAGCTCATTGGAAACTGATGACTGGCTTCTTTTATGCTTAAAGAAGTGGGCCACCAGTTAGATTACGATATCCCCAACTGTCCTTTTCTAGGACGTGAAATTCACACTAGTTATACTTATCATTTACCTTTTTTCCAAAGTCAGATTACCTCACTTTAAGAGACTGAAGGTAGGGCTGGGAGTCAACTCTTCTATACATAAACTGTAAGGAGCGACCCCTACTTTAGTCACATTTCTAATCCCACCCCCTCTGGCAGGCACAGCTGAGCATGGAGCAGTTTCTGCAGGGAGGATTAGGTTCCCTTTGAGCATAGGCTGCCCCTGTGCATATTCCAGGTGATGATTTTCTTTTATTCTTCTGTTCAGTTAGATTTTCTTCCACTTGTCTTCTATTTTTCAAAATTGTATTAGAATTTCTTCTACAATGGCTTTTTTTTTTTTGAAACAGGGTCTCCATAAATTGCTGAAGCTGGCTTTGAACTTGCAATACCCCTGCTTCAGATTCCTGAGTTGCTGGGATTATAAGCATGCACCACCACATCTGGCCTAGAATCTCTTCTGGACTGTTGATTGCTATGGGTTTACATAGTTAGAATTTTTTGATGCCATCATTTTAGAGGGTTCTCAAAATGAAGAAGAGCTTAGAGGACATTAGAAATTCTCTATCTACATTTTTGAACCTTGATCTTTCCCAATGGCTCTAACCACTTTTAGAAATGTAATCTTGTAGTGCCCTGGTGAAGGGAATAGATGTAACACATCTAAAACAACAATGGATTAGGATTAGATGATCAAAGATTTTGTCTCTACTTGGCAAATTAGTAATTAAAAAAATGAAAGTCTAGTGCTTTTTATTTATTTTTTTTCTTTCAGTGATAGGGATTGAACCCAGAGCCACATGCATCATAGGAAAGTACTCTACCACTGAGCTATGCCTCAACTGGCTTTCTATTTTTTTTTTCACGGATCAGTAATCTCCATAGTCACATAAAAATAGGAAACTGCCCTTCAACTACGGGAGAACATGGCAACATGGTGCCATTTGTGAACCAAAATGCAGGCCCCCGCCCAGATACCAAAGTTGCCAGCACCTTGATCCTGTATTCTCTAGCCTCCAGAATTGTGAAAATTAAAGTTCTATTGTTTATAAGTCAATAGATAAATATAGGAAAGGATAACTTTCTATATTTTAAAGTTTCATTCTAAAATAAAATCATAATTTTATGTGGGGGGCTAGGTGTGTAGCTTTGTGGCCTGGTTATGTGCAACACCCTGGGTTCCATCCTCCGTACCAAAAAAATAAATAAACAAAACAAACAAAATAAGAACTTTGTAGTACACACACACAAAGAACAGGAACTCTCCAAATGGTGTTTCCCTTACTATAAGTTATAAGCTCTACTTTAAAATTGAAAATAAATAAATACAATCTTTTTTAAGGTACAAAAATATTATAAATTTTTATTTTCTGGTCACATAAACAGAAGAATAGAATGAGATTAGATGTGAGGCAATATAAAGTAACATAAAATTTATTTATGAAAGGAGAATACCAAAACTTTTCTTCCCTTTTAGTTTTATTAAGCACAAAGTTAAAATTTTATCTTACAAGAAAATTCAGCTAAACCATCAATTTTTAATTAGGTTTTTTTCTTTAATTTTTTAGTTGTTAAGAGACCTTTATTTATATGCAGTGCTGAGAATCAAACCCAGTGCCTCACACATGCCAGGCAAGTGCACTATCGCTGAGCCCCAGCCCCAGCCCCAGCCCATCAATTTCTTGGTATGTAAAATAAGAACAATGAATTGGGTGACTACATCATACAATATTTAGTTTCCTTGAGTTTATTTTATGATCTCCTTAAATATAATATTCTATGATTATAAAAAAAGAAAAATATATTATTGGTGATATGTTTTGATTTTTATTTTGTAGTAGTCACATGTCCTTCTCTCCCCTTGCTCTAAAAAAAGAAACCTTTCCAAGGGATATGAATTAGAAAAGGGGTAAACAGATCCCACGCAAGGTATCCAGGGTTGTTTCACAATCAAGCTTTCTGCCAAGTAAGTACCACACAGTTTCAAATAATCTTCCCTATATATTTAAAGTAATAGTTTTGTACCTGTAATGCTTCTTGTTTTAAACAAGTTTTCTCAGGCATTTCATGAACACTTTCTGAAGAATCATCAACCTCTTCAATTTCTGAGGATGAAGGACTCTCTACTGTCACAGTCACAGGAAAATCTGATTGCTTAAATAAAGAGGACAAGATTGTATAAACAATAATATCAATCAAATACCAAATGTAAAAGGCATCTAATCAAAGTGATCTTTCTGAAATATTTAAGTCCCCCAGAAGCTCACGTGTAACACAATGTAAGAAGTTTCGGAGGAGAATAAATTTTTCCTCCTCTATAATTGTTCTGGTTGGGTCCCTTTAGTCACAGCAGTGAAAAACTTGATTAAAACACTGTTACTGTATTACATGGTTATAATTAATATTTGAAATTTCCCATTTTAGTTTAGTAAATTTCTTGTACATGAATCAAGTGAGAAGCCAGGACAAACATTTTTTCTCAGGTCAATTTTATACTGCGGATGAGAAATTTACTCTGCACGATCAGACACAAAGAGTCTATATAAAGTACAATTTTTTGGAGGAAAATTCCTAAGTAGGGAGACTGATAAAGAATTATAAGAATGATTAGTTAATAAGCTAAACTGTAATTAACAAACATTAAAATGACCTTTTAATAAATCACACACACACATATACAATTAAAACTGGCCCATCAAACTACCTTTGCATCCTTAATACAATGCTATACTCCTGTCAAGTTTCATTAACACTAGAATGTTGCTTAATATGTTTCCTATCGTTTAAAAACTGACCTGGTCCAACTCTATAAAACAGTCTACAGATCAAAAAAAGTATTGATATACATCTGAAAAACAAGTCACTAGATGTAATTTCTACCATAAGCAGCAAACCATGCAGTATACGAAAATCCTCAATGGCAGAATGAGATGTACACCCATCTATTAAGTAGGCAGGGGGCAGTACTGACACCCCAGGTGCTCCTGTCTCAATCTCATTAGTGTTGTTTTTATTTTAATTTTTATTTGTTTTAATTAGATACACATGGCAGTACAATGATCTTATCATACATTTGAATCGGATAGGGTATAATTTCTCATTTTTCTGAGTGTACAGGTTGCAGAGAAAACTTATGATCTCTTGGGACAACTGGGAGAAGAACCCAATACTCTGATAGAATCAGTTTGCTCCAAGACTGAGAGGCAATAGGACAGGGAATATGTGTGGCCCTGGTGAGGGAGAAAGAAATGGTATGAGAAATCAGAGGCTCTGGCATTTGTTGCTTTGTTCTGGGCGTAGGATCTAAAATTTATGTAGAAATGCATATATCTCCCCAAAACAACATTTCTTGAAAACCGAAGGACATTTTTGAGTATGATAGCTTCATGTGTCAAGTCAGTAATGGTGGTTGAAATCATTTCAACAGCAGTTTATGAACTGAAAAAATGGCTTCTTTGGCTACAGATGAAACCACAAGGTGCATGGTGTATGCCATATACATACAACCATACTGTGGTGTTAAGAGAGCAACCTGAAAAATTTTAAGCGGATTAACTTCAGGGAGGGAAGTATTTCTTATAAGGTTCTACTCAAGTTTTTAAAAAGCAGAGAATGACCCTCCATCTTTCTTAATCCAAACCCCTACATATTGCAAATATGATAAGCACATACCTGCAGCTGATCAGATATATCACGGGTTTTGATTGATGGAAAACCCCTAAGAGAAAATTAACAAATTGTTATATTTTGATGTAAATGCACCATCAGTTAATACCAAGTATTCACACTTACTAGTATTATTATTCATATAGAACTATGTATAGAAATAATCTCAAAATAAGCACCTAGAAAGCTTTACGAGGGAGAAAACTGAACAAACTGCAGCATAATGATTTTTTGATAACTCTCTGGGAAATGCATTTCAATTCTATGCTCAGGATGATTGAGATTTTCAGACTAACTTCTCTGATAATAATTACTCTCTGATTTACAGCTCCTTCTGATCAGAGTGGACTAGAGATTACTAAGCATCCCAAGAAAAAGACATGAAAACACAAACTTATAAAATTAAGATGTAAAATCTGGTGTTTCAGCACTAGTTTATGCAATAATAATTCACATTACCAATTATAAATAAACATAGTAGTCAGTTGCCTATTATATACATCAATTTATTTAAATGTGAGCAACTGAACAGATATTTTACATAGTACCTATTTCTAGACCTATTTAGAATCAATTCTTTATTGTCTTAAGCAACTATTAATCCTTAATTTCTTAAATATTCAAATCAGTAATTAGAAAATAAAGTATAGTAGTTTTATTTTATTTTTAGGTAGCCACAATATCTTTATTTTTCATTTATGTGGTTCAGAGGATTGAACCCAGTGCCTCATGCATGCTAGGTGAGCACTCTACCACTGAGCCACAACCCCAGCCATGTATAGTAGTTTAATGCCCTTATCAAGCCTAAAATTATAGTATAATTTTTGAAAACTTCTTTGACAAAAATTATTACAAATAGCTATGTCCTGGGTAAGTAATTAGCTAAAACTTATTAAATCTTCTTTGATTTACTAAAATGAGAGTTAGGCCAGATGACTTAGTAAGTCTAATCCATACTTCTTATCCACTTGGCATTAAACTATTCCCCATGCCTATAATGCCCTTTTCCCTATTCTTACATATCCAAATTTCTGCTTCTGTCCTGTAGGACTCAGCTACACTACACATGGGTTTTCTGAAACCTTTTCTTACCTGCACAAATAAAGATAATTTCAGTCTCCTATGAACTCCCATGGGGTTACAAACTGTTGTGACACTTAAGATGTACATGAAATTCCTAGTTATATTAATTTTTTTGTTTTGCTTCCCTAAAGGATCCATTAAGCAGAAACCATATGTTAGTTATCTTCTTCTCCTTATAAAAACAACCAGATAGCTTCCATATAATAGAAGCCCCCCCAAAAGAATTGTGAATGACTAAAAGATGGGGAAAAAAAATCCCACCTGCTCCTTTTTGCACGTTCTGCAGTACGCCATGGCAAGAAACCAGATACACCAGGTGGTGGAGGTTCAGAAGCACATTCTTTACAAAGGGTGTGTTTTCTTCCACTGTTTACAGGTTTCTTTGTCGCCAATCCTGTATTAAGGACAATGTTAAAAAGAAAGACTCCAGATGCAATAAAAGGCTATCATCAGTTATTATGTGCACATTCTTAAAAGGATTCAAATGAGCAATTAACAATGATACTAAACCAATAAAACACAATCAGTCTGTAAATTTGTTTTTTGTTTTTTAGCTGCGCTGGGAACAAAACCAGAGTCTCATGTGTGACAGGCAAGCACTACACCACTGTGCCATATTCCCAGCACCCAATTTGTAAAACTCTTATTAAATAGGGCAGCAGTGTTTTGAAAATTTAAGTTCTCCAGGGTAACAGGTTATAATTTTGACTAAAAGTATATGGGTCATGCAAAACATGCCAAAGTAAATACAAATATATTCCAAACAATGAACAATTGTGCATCATGCAAAAACATTCCATTTACTGAATCTCAGAACATCTTGAGTATTTCTGAATCTCAAGGTCAGATCAAAATAGGTATACCCACAACTCCTGCCCAACAGAACCTTCTGAATTAAAACAAAATTTCACCTGCAGATTAATTTTACTACATAAAAATTATCAAAGTTAAAAGACTGAAGGTTACTGGGTAGTAGCTGACTAAATGTTATCCTCATAGTAACTAAGAAATGACCTTGAGTGCTCATTTGATTTTTTAGAAACTACAAAAGAAATCAATAAAACATTGGATAAAAGAGTGAACCTACATTTCAACAATGAAGAGTTAATATCTTTATATAAAACACTTGGCAGAAAAAACTAGATCTATACCTTTGTTTATTTTTTTAATGTGGTGCCAAGGATCAAACACAGTGCCTCACACATGCTAGGCAAGCACACCCTACCACTGAGCCACAACCCCAGCCCCAAAAGCTATATCTATATATTGACACTTTATTAGAAAACAGATATTAAAAATTCAAATTTAAGTATTTGTTTCTAATATTAGTGAGAACAAATAATATTCATTTATTAAAATGATTATATTTATCTTTCCAGTCTGTTTTACTAAACAAGGGCACTTTAGCCATTATTAGGATGGCATCTAAAATAAAATGTTTGTGGTAATATAGGAAAAACACTTCATATATTGTAACTTATTGATAATCACCACATGGTGCTATGGGATTTCTCTGGATACATTTACATGCCTCTTCAAATACACAGGAGCTCTATTCATATTCTCCTTTTCCAGTTTTCTTTTTTTTAACCTAATTATCTTCACACACACAAAAATGTTCCTGTGGATAGCCTTCACATATATAGCATTTCCTTCACTTTCAGAATGCAGGGCTGGGGTTGTGGCTCAGTGGTAGAGCACTTGCCTAGCATATGTGAGGCAATAGGTTCGATCCTCAGCACCACACAAAAATAAATAAAATAAAGGTCCATCAACAACTAAAAAAAAAAATTTTAAAAAAGTGCAAACAACTTTTTTAATTAAAGTCAAAATAAACCTATTTTGGCAGAAGATTAAAAATATAATAAAACTTATCTTCTTTCTGCACATATAATTACAATATGAATATGATACAATTCACATATTCAACCCCTGTTCTCACTAAAATCTAACTATACTGCCAAGACTCTGATTTGGCTTACCTCTATGTCTCCAAATAACTGAGGCAAATCCAAAAAAAAAAAAAAAAAAAAAGGGCCCAAGAAACAAAATTACTCTTAAAATACCTCAGTGAGTTTGTAAAATTCAGCCACATTCCCACTTTCTTTATTACACAACACTAGCTACTAAAATTAAAGAATTTTGAACATGTTTTATAAAGATGTAATATACATTTTCTATTTTTATTTATAAACACCAACAGAAATACTTAAAAGAATGCTTACATGATATAAACCTTTAGCAATATTTAATTAGTGTGATGTCACCAGTCTCAATTGTATATACTATCTGATTGACAACTAAAATATCACTGTTCTGATATGAGAGTTGGTAGATAAGATACATACTATACTTTTATCTACTACTACCTAATACATTTACTACTATTCACTACAAATAAGTTGGTTAACAGTAAATAAAAATATACAGCTTTTAATAAAACAAGAAGTTATAGGTATGCAGATGTTTACACTACGATTTTTTAAATTATTAAATACTTAAATCTTTTCCAGCTTTTTACCAGTTTAAAATATTGACCCATCAACTCAATAAAACCTTGTGACTGTATTAAAAAAAGCAACTATTAATCATATAAAAATTTACTATGAAATGAAAAAAAGAATGCCAAATTATATTTATGCTGACAGTCAACAGGAGAAAATATTATTTGATAGAATAATGAAACTGGAGGTGTTTTCTGTTTTTATCTCCATTGCTATTATAAAACAACACCTTAATAAAAGCTAAACAAAAATCATCAAACAACGTTAAAAAAATTATGTTGAAATATATCTAACAAAAATTTCCATATTAATCTTTTTTGTGTGTATGTGCAGTATTGGGGACTGTACCCAGGGTCTCACACATACTAGACAAGCGCTCTGCCACTGAGCTACATCCCCAGTTCCTCATATTAACCATTTTTAAGTATATGCCTCAATAGAATTAAGTCAAACAATTTGTTAAGATTTCAAATTGAATCCAAATAAAAGACTGCCATTAATTGTTCAGTGACCTTGATGTATCTGGCATATAACTAAAGTTACCACAAATCTTTAACTAGTAGAAAGTTGGCAGATCCTAAACATAATTTTTTTTTCTATATTAGTTCTTATGGTTTTACTGTCTCAAAATTCAAAGTTATTACAAAAAAAAGGCCAGTTTTCTAATAGATTTAGATTAACTTATTCTACTGTGTCATTTTTTCTTATCACAAAGAAAAAAATTGTTTGTGCTAAAGATAATTTGTTCTAGAAAATAAAAGTTAAGAACTCTTTAGAAATAACACAAAAATTTTAGTGAATTAAATTACTACAAACTAAAATTTACTTCACTGGTTGTTAAAGAGTTTTATTTAAAAGGTTTTTCCCATTATACTTGGTCACAAAATCATGGATATTTTTATTTCTAATTATTATTAGATTAAGTATTACTTGGAAGATTAAATATACATTATAACAAATAATACAGAAAACATTTCATTCTAAAACATTCCATCTAGGGTCAATAAACTTATTTGCAACATTGTTTCATAAAGATTATATATATTTTAAGTTTTTTCTTCATCATTTAAAGAATCAAGGTGTTATCTAATATTTAATAACCTTTTTTCTTTTTGGTACCGGGGATTGAACTCAGGGGCACTCAACCATTGAGCCACATCCCCAGACCTACTTTGTATTTTATTTAGAGACAGGGTCTCACTGAGTTACCTCACAGCGCCTCACCATTACTGAAGGTGGCTTTAAACTCCCGATCCTTCTGTCTCAGTCTCCCTAGCTGCTGGGATTATAGGTATGCACCACTGTGCCAGGTTTCAATACCTTTTAAGTGGGAATTTCAGAGAAGTGGGGAACAAGGAGAAAAAATGTTGTTTCCTATAGTTTTAAGAAAGGGTACTACTCCATTTAAAAAAAAAAAAAAATTGGCAACACACACCTATAATTCCAGCAACTCAGGAGACTGAAGCAAGAGGATCACAAATTTGAGGTCAGCCTCAGAATAAAAAATAAAAAGGACTGGCCTAGTGGTAAAGCACACCTGCTGTGTTCAATCCCCAGTACTAAAGGGAAAAAAAAAATTAAAAACTTTTTTTTTTAATTAAAAAAATTTAAAAAATCAGGTTGGGGGCATGACTCTGGTAGAGCACTTGACAACAAGCTCAAAGCCCTGGATTCCTCTGTAGCATCATAAAACAACAAAGGACACTAAAAAGCAGTGTCACCAAAGGGCATCCCAATTTCAACTGCAAAGTATGCAAGGTAATCGTCAACTGGGAAACACTGAAAATGATGAACATTTTATGAAAAACAAAAAACAAAAACGGCTAATTTAAAAAATGGAAATACTAGTATTCTTTCTATAATGATTCATTTAACTATTTCTACATTCTACAAATTCTTGTTATCTGTTTCAGAACAATTACAGTCCTGAGAAGATATACATGTGTCAATACAGACAATGAGAAGAGTAATTTTAACACATTAGAACACATGGAAGATATAAATTTTAAAAGTATTAAAAAGACAAGACATATAGAGTTACCAATTCTAATAGTAGCTTTTCCTTTTCGACTATTTCCCAGAATTATTGTTCTCTTTTTCTGTTTAGCAGTTTTAGATGGTTCCCTTACTGATGGAGAAGTTATCCACTGGTACTAGAAGAGAGATACAGGTAATTTAAGTACTGGTATGAGGATTCAACCTTAACTCGAATTTATTAAGATATTCTAAGTTAACAAAAGGTTTGCAGTTTTAGGATTCCAAATTAAGTCTCAAAATATTTTTAAAAACAGAAAAGCCACCTTAACTGACTGAAAACTTCATTTAAGAAAGTGCCCTGGCAATTTTATTTTACTAAAAACAAAAGAAAAGTAAATGAATAAAAATTCTTTCTAGAGGACTAAAACATGTTATACCTCTGACTTAGCACTCCTTCCATTCTGAAGAACTTTTTTGATAACTGCTTTCATCATAGAATGATCTAAAGTAAAATGAAAATTGAAATTGTAGTAACTTTTCCAATGAGTGGCTATTTCTATTTAAAATCAAAAGTCAACTAATCATTACTTTTCCCATAAAATTAAAATATTCAAACCAAAGTTGTGATACACCCATGAAGCTGCTCCTCTCTCATCCTCCTTTTCTCAGTAACTGTACCACTCTGTCATACACATTATCACTGAGGGACATTTTAAAAATTACTATTTCTTTCATAGCTCACATCTAATCTATCTACAAGTCGTCTTCTTAATTATACTTTGTTTTATCACCTCCAACCTTCCACCCTAAGCTAAGCCATAACCATCTCTCACTTTGACCACTTCGAACTAGTCTGTTTTCCTTCTTATTCCTGCCAAATGAAATGCTACTTGGATCATGCCTTTTTCCAGCTCAAAACTCTCCTGTGGTTTTAATTCACTCTAAATAGTCCAGGTCCTTACCTTGGCCTTTAGGACCTCAAAGTAACCCCTGGCTAGCTGTCTGATCTCATAGGATACCAGATTCTCCCTCACCAAGTGCTCCAACCATGTTGGTCTCCTTGCTTTTCCTTAAATACTCCATCAACTCTACCACCTTGTACTTTTATTCTCATTACTTCCTTGTTCTAGAATTGCTAATTCCTCTCTTCACTCAGGTCTCTCTGTATGTCACGTTTCCAGTGATGTTGTCCCTTAACAAACCTATCTAGTACAGTCTCATCAGACCCCATCTGTTTTCTTATTTTAAGGCATTCTTGCACTTTCTGCTATCTCAAATTATACTACTTATCTGTTTACTCATTTGTATTTGATTTCCCCCATTAGAACATAAGCTGAGTGAGAGTAAGACTTTAACTAGCTGGTAAGTTTAGTGCCTAAACCAGTGTTTGGCACATAGAAGTATTCAAAAATTATTAGTTAAATTAGCAAATGAATGAAATGCTCTCTCCCAAGAATTCAGAGGTTCCAGAAAAAAAAACAAAAAACAGAAATAATGCTCTTGGTAGAAGCAGGTTTATTATCTGGGTTCACCTGTATTCAGAGTAGCAGCCAAGAACAATTTACAAGTATAACTCATTTTAATTGGCAAATCACCTGCTAAAAACATAAGGAAGTACAAGATTAGAAAAGTATAAGATTAGGAAGATAAACATATTAAGCTTTAAAAATTGTCAATACATGAACAAATTCTTTTTATTCTGCTATTTGTTAATTAGTTTTTTAAAAAATGAGGTGACATACCAATGAGTGAATTTTTTCTTATATCCAGAATGACCAGCGTTCTATTGGTTTCAAGGGCCTCTAGTAAAGCTTTGGCTCCTTCATTGGTGAGGCCACACTGCTGCAGGTCAAGAGCTTTTGATGAAAAACAATAGGTCATTTGCCAACTCTCTACATGTTTAACATTCAGACAACTCTCATTAATGTTGGAGATTCCTGAACAAGATGAGTCATGGAAGGTTTTTAATCTTGAGTATTAAAAAAATAAAATCAGAAAGCATATGCAAATACATACTCTAGGGGGGAAAAAAACAGAGCATCAACTCCCCCCAAAAACCCTCTTCTTGGATATGCTATGATTATCCATACTTTAGTTCTAATGAGTCACCCCACATATTTTATAACTGCAGAGTTGAAAAGCACTCTACACAATCTGTGAGAGAGAAAAATTGTCACAAAATGAATATCAGTTCATAATTAACAAGGATGCTAGTGGCAGTGTAAACATCACAGGCAAATACTGGGTAGTATACTGAGGTTGCACTTTATTCCTTTGATCATGATCTTGAACTCCAAATGAACTCAAACTATAATGGAAGGGGAATTTGGGTACAATGGCACACACCTGTACTCGTAGCTCTTAGCTATTTGAGAGGCTGAGGCAGAACAATCAAAAGTTTAAGGCCAGACAGGTAGGGTGGTGCACGCCTATAATCCTAGCAGCCGGGTAGGCTGAGACAGGAGGATCTCAAGTTCAAAGCCAGCCTCAGCAAAGGCGAGGTGATAAAAACAACTCAGTGAGACCCTGTCTCTAAACAAATTACAAAATAGGGCTGGGGATGTGGCTCAGTGTTTGAGTGCCCCTGAGTTCAGTCCCCAGTACCTAAAAAAAAAAAAAAATGTTTACGGCTGCCTGGGCATCCTAGGAAGACCCTGCCTCAATAAAAATAAGTGACATGATATTAGGAAATGAGGCCTTGGGAAAATAGACTTAGATAAAATCTTGGGAATAGAGTCCCCATTTTGGGATAAAACAAGAAGACAGGTTTCTATAACCCAGGAGGAGCACCTACATCAGACAGTGGATCTGCCAAGGGTCAAATATAATGAATGAAGCTAAAGATCTGCCCAACCTAGACTTCCCAGCCTCACAATAAATTCCACTTTTCTGTGTAACTACAATGCACCAAGTAGAAAATAAATGAATGAAAGAGCAATAGAGGACTTTCCTCCATTTATTAGTAAATGATATAATTTTATTCTTCTTTATGGCTAAGTGAAACTCTATTGTGTATGTATAACACATTGTCTTTATCCAGGATCAGGGGGAGGGAGAAGGAAAGGTAATGGATTTGTACTCCATTGAAATGGAGTAAATTATGTTATATGCATTTATGAATATGTCAAAATGAGCCCCACATTTATGTATAAATATAATGCACTAAAAAAAAATTAAAGGTGCTCAAGCTATAGTGAGTGAAAAAAGTTATAAAAGGGGTAGGTGGCTCTCATTTTAGTAAAGTTTAAAGTTTTAAAACTGACAAAATTGCATGTTTATGAGTGCGCAGGCCTCACATATATACTGTTAGTGTGAATCACAAAATGGAACAGCATTTCTGGAAGACAATTTGGCATTATGTGCCTTTATCTTTGAAAATATGTTACATTAAAGTCATTCCACTTTTCAAGAAGTAATTCCAATGGACACATACATTCTTTTACTATACATTTAAATAGGGGAAAAGTACAAACTCTCTAAATATCAAATAGCAGGGAATTCATTAAATTATTATGCATCAATGTGAGGGAGTACTACATGAGACACTATAAAGCAAAATACAGTAGGGTTATCGTACAAATACAGTTATCTCATACTAGATAAAGGCACCATAAACATTCATTGAAGAAAAGATAGCCTCTTCAACAAATAGTGCTGGGAAAACTGGAAATCTATATGTAACAAAATGAAATTAGACCTCTCTCTCTCACCCTGAACAAAACTCAACTCAAAGTGGATCAAGGACCTAGGCATTAGACCAGAGACTGCACCTAACAGAAGAAAAAGTAGGCCCAAATCTACATCATGTCAGCTTAAATACCAAATTCTTCAACAAGACTCCCAAGCACAAGAGTAAAATCAAGAATCATTAAATCAGATGATATGAAACTAAAAAGCTTCTTCACAGCAAAGAAAACAATCAAGAACATGAACAGAGAGCCTACAGAATGTAAGAAAATCTTTACCATCTGCAACTCAGATACAGCAAAAAACTCAACACAAAAAAAACTCCCAAAATAATCCAATCAATAAATGGGCAAAGGAACTGAACAGACACTTCACAGAAGAAATATGAATTGTCAACATATATGAAAAAATGTTCAACACCTCTAACAATTGGAGAAATGCAAATTAAAACTACACTGGAATTCTATCTCACTCCAGTCAGAATTGCAATTATCAAGAATAAAATGACAGTAGTGTTGGTGAGAATGTGGGGGAAAAGGCATACTCAAACATTTCTGGTGAGGCTGCAAATTGATGAAACCACTATGGAAAGCAGTATAGAGACTCCTTAGAAAACTTGAAATGGAACTACCATTTGATCCAGTTATCCTACTCCTTGGCTTATACCCAAAAGACTTAAAATCAGCATACTAAAGTGACGCAGCCACATCAATGTTTATAGCAGCTCCATTCACAATATCTAAGCTATGGAACCAACCTAGATGCCCTTCAACAGATGAATGGATAAAGAAAATGTGGCATATATACACAATGAAATATTACTCTGCCATAAAGAAGAATGAAATTATGGCATTTGCTGATAAATGGATGGAACTGGAGATGATCATGCTAAGTGAAATAAGCCAATCCCAAAAAACCAAAGGCAGAATGTTCACAGATACAAGATGACTCACAATAGATAAGATAGGGGGTGAAGTGAAAGTTCACTGGATTGGACAAGGGGAAGTGGGAGAAACAGAGGAGGGAATGGGAATGGAAAACTCAGTAGAATGAATCAGACATAATATTTTTATAGTCATATATAAATACATGAACAAAGAGAACATGAACAGAGAATCTATAGAATGTAAGAAAATCTTTACCACCTGCACTTACGTGTAACCCCATATCACGTACAACCACAAAAATGGGAAGTTATACTCCGTGTATGCATGATTTGTCAAAATATATTCTACTGTTATATATAACTAAAAAGAACAAATAATAGCACTCTATAGTTCTCTATTTTTGTAATCTCTTACATGTATAAATACATCTGCCAAAAAAAAGCTAAAATATGTATGCCAAAATGAACAGTGGGTGTTTTGATTATAGGTAATATTATCTTTTATCGTTTACTCTCTCTGTATTTCCTATGAAGAATATATTTAACTTTTATAAAAGTTTAAAAGCCATTAGGAAAAAAAAGGATTTTAAAAATATCTTGGGCTGGGATGTTCCTTGGTGGCAAAGTGTTTGCCTCACATTCGCAAAGCCCTGGGTTCAATTCCCAGTTCCAAAAAAGACAAAAAAGAAAACCGATACATTATGACAACAATACAATTCCAAGAGGTAAGCATATTTGATACTCAAAATTCACCATTTTCAATTCTAGAAGTTCATTTATCTTACCTCTAAGCCATAAATCCTCACTAAGAGAGTCTGCAAAAGCACGTGCCCCCAGGTCACCAATGAGGGAGTTGCAATTCAATGTGATTCGCCTTAAGCCAGCCATGCAGTCAAGATCTGGTCTCCTATAGCGAAGACTCTCAGCCCAGGTTTCTTCATGCCGTCTCATGGTTTGATACTTTAACAATTTAATAGCATGAAATTAAATGCTTAAAAAGAACACAGAAAAACTAAAAGAAAACTAAGTATGGCTGATTATGTCAGTGCCTTACACACACACACACCCCCCAAGTATATTTGCTGGAGGTCATCTTTAGTATATTAAACAGTAGATTGTGACTTAGGGGTCCAGTGACCCAGCTCCCAGTCTGCCACCGACTAGTTGTGCAACTCTAGCCACTGGGTAACCTGTTGCAGATTAGTATGTAAACTGACAATTCAATTAAATTTCAAGAGTTTTATTTTCCTTTATTTTCACACTTTTTACCATTATCTATTGCAAGGATCAGAGGACTTGCTCTATAGCGGCCCAAAAGTAAACATTTTCAACTTTGTGGGTCAGACAGTACCTTTTAGAAGTACTCAACAATTCAGGTGTAGGTTGAAAGTAGTCACAGTTACTATGTAAACAACTGAACATGGTTGTGTTTAAAAAAACTGGTGGTAAATTTGATCCACAAAGTTTGCCTATCCCAGATCTGTACCATCAAACTATAAAAAAGGTTTCATATCAAATTATCAAGTAATTGTATGCCAAAATATAGTAGTTAAACCACTATAAAGTTATTAAGGCACCCTTAAAATCATTTTTTAAAAACTATGATTTTTATTGGTTCATATATTATAGCAGTTAATATTTGAGTCACTGAAGTAATACGAAGACTGTAATGCACAAAATTTCTTTCAGTGCCCAAAACATTTTCAATAACTAAAGGTACACAAATGTATAATTCATAATGCATTATACTTTAAAATCTCACCTAAGATTAAGTACATATCTTACTAAATGGTAGAACCCCAAGCTAAACACAGGTCACATTCTTTCATTAGAAATATAATTATAATCACCATATGAATGAAAAGATAAAAATAATTGCCATCTCATACCAAAGTATTACTGTGCTTCAAACACATAGCACATTTTCACAAACTTCTGAATACAAAGTCACCTTTAAGATCTTGGCCATGTGATCTGCTCCCTGCCATGTCAGACTACACCCAGTGAAGTTGACTGTCTTAAGAGTGATAGAGGTCTTCACAGCTTGACAAATAACTAAAAAGAAGGGGAAAAAAAAAGACACATACAATAAACCGAAGAGCCTAATCAACCTGGTCAATCCTTTTCTTTTTTTGGTACCAGGGGTGGAACCCAGGGGCGCTTACCCACTGAGCCATATCCCCAGCCACATACCACATCCCCATTTTTTATTTTGAAACAGGGTCTTGCTAACTTGCTGAGACTGGCCTCCAACTTGCAATCTTCCTGCCTCAGCCTCCTGAGCTGCTGGGAGTACAGGTGTGTGCCACCACACCTGGCCTCAACTTTCTTGAGTATATTTTAGTTTATAGCTGTATTCTTAAAAATCACTCTCTATACTCTTTCCAAAAACTAATGGATCAGTACATTCTACAACATGTTTGTGACAAAGTGTTATTCTAATTTACAGCAATAACATAATCCTATTAGATGCTAAAATTGAAAACTCTGCATTCCCAATCACAGAGTAAAGTATTATAGAGTTTTTGAGTCATCTGAAAGAAAAAGAAAAGTCTAAAAAAACATGATTTTTTTTTCTATTTTATTTCCAAGAACATACTTTGATCTTGATCATCAATTTAAATGTCAACTATAAACCCAGAACTACATCAGGTGCTCTTATTAATATAACTAGGTGCTCTACCAAAGCACATAAGATACAAGAGCAACAGAAGATAGAGGACCTTAAACTCTGTTCAGATTGAAATGCAAGCTTCCTTACCCCTCCAGACCATGATTCCACACACCAATTCTTCAGGACCCCAATCAACAGAAGACCTCTTGTAATTATCTACATGACCAGCCCTCTCCTGGCCAAAGAGTTCACTGACCTTTTATATGCTCCTATAGCACTTAGCATATATCTTCTATTTTAGCACACACCACACAGTGCATTAAGACTGCATTATAGATGCCATTTAAAAATAATGATTTTTTTTCCTCTTCACATTTTGCTATTGCTATTCCCATAAATATTTCTTAGAAGGAAAACCCTAAAAGATGAATAAACACAAAAAACAGAATACCAGACAGAAGAGGTTTGTGTGGTTTGTGGCTTAACACATCCTTTAGTAAAGTTACTTCAGAGAGTAATCAACATGATAAGCTTTAAGGGTAGAAGTGATAATGGATCAAGATATAAAGAGGCACAGGAGGTAGCTCAGACAGAGGCAGCAGCCAGAAAAGGGTTATTAATAAAAAACCAGACAGGAATTAATATGGTATATAGGCAAACATGAGACCAGTCTGATGGGTCAAAAGTTAAACAAGATTTAAACTCACTTTCTAAACCTCCATCTCCAATTGGACAGTTTGCAAGAGACAGGTGCACCAAAGAAGTCGATTTATTCAATCCCTTTATTAGAGGAAAAGAGTTAAAAAAATTTATTGAGTATTTCCCCCTACAAAACAACTATGAAATGTTTGCAGGCCACACTGAAGAAGGCTTACCTTTGTTAAAATAATTAAATCCCTCTCTCTCAGAACTAGTCCATTTAACTCCAGGTTCCTTAGCACACTTGATACACTTAGACAGCCTTTAAGAGCTTTACACAACTGGAAGGTCACATCTTTGGATCTTATAGCAGGAACGCGACTTCTGCAAACTTTGTTTATGTCAGAACCTAAAGCAAAGTTATTGTAAAATTAGCAATCTCAATGAATGATATAGTTCATCATTTAAAAACATTCGTTCACTATTAAGGCGCAGACATGAACCATATCCTTAAAAAATCCTTGTAAGGAAAAACATAAGAACTCAAAGTCACATGAGGTACAGAAACACAAACCTTATACATAGAGGTTTTTAAGATGGCAAAGAAATTGCACCTAAGGGATAGCTTCAAGAAAATACTGATATTGAACCCAGAAAGATGAAAGTAAGTTAGAGTGGATAATGTATTCTTCTAAGAGGAAGTGGAATGTGCAAAGGCAACCATGCCTGACTCCTGCAAAGCACTGTAAATGCTGCAGGTGGAATGACTACACTCTGCAGGGGTTGAGAAGAAGAGCTGCAAATTTTAAGAGGCAGAAACAAGCCTGGAAAAAAGTTGTCTTTTATCTCACAAGTGATGAGAACTAGGGCTACCACACACTAGGTGAGTTCCTGGCATGTCAGAATAATGTGTCTCACTGTGAGAGGACCAATTAGATAAAGAAAAGGATTAGAAAAAGGCACCTGCTTTCAATTAAAAAAAAAAAAAAAAAACCCCTTCCTCAGGCATAACTAGCCCCATGAGGCTTGGCAGAACACAGCTCAGATTTCAGTACCTTTGACAAAATACAAGTTGTGCCACCAATTTGCAGAGGTCCTGTGAGTCACATTAAGCATTTTTTTAAGCATATGGTTTCATCTTAGAAAGATCACTTGAACTGAAGTGGGCAGAAGAATTAAGGGAAACTGAGTTCAGGGGCAGCAAAACTAGCTAGGAGCTTCTGCAATAGTACAGGCAAAATGTAATTAAGGTTGAGTAAGTGACATATAAGAGGTTAAAACCTAGACCCACTGGATTTGAGAAAGGAATAAGATTCAGCAAAGGATATCTGAAAAGAAATTGGTCCACAATACATTTTTTCTTACACTGAGTATAAAACATTTGGCAAAATCAAGTATACTAGTTTTGACTCTTAAGATCCCTCTCATTTTTCATTTATTTTGATTTCTGCTATTACTGTGGTTAAGTCCCTTCAGAGGTGCAGAATAACATCTGAATGAGATACAGAGAAAAGGTGACAACTCTTCAGTCAGGGGTGTGATGAATGGTCCTTGCAGAGCAGACCATGGATGGTGCTAACCTCAGACTTTAGAAAAAGACTAGGCATATGACAAATAGTCAGGTTTTTAAATAAATCCATAATCACTTCCTCTCCAAGATCTCCATACCCTCCTTCTCAGCTGGTTACTTTCTCTCAGCTTATAAACATAACTCAAGTCCATCCATTTAGAAAATGTTGCAAGCCTTTCAAATATTTTCTCCATCTTCTTTGTGGGTAACTCAGATCCTCTCCTATCTTCACATGCCTATCTTTCCACAAGGCCCAAATCTGTATCTAGGGTTTAGACCTGCCTAACAGACAAATCTGGAAGCTGTCTTAAAACATTAAAGATTAACTAAGATTCTCTTCCCAACCTAATCTAGTTGTCCTGTGTCTTAGGGAAAGATGCTACTCTAAATTCTAACTAGTCACCAGGCCCCATCCATTCTCATCATTCAAAATCCAGCCCTTCTCCCTATCTTAATTTGGGCTGTTAGATTACAATTCTTTCCCAACTTTAATTTGTCTTCCGTATGGAGGACATAGTAGGGCCCTAAATCAGTCCATTTCAACATCCTTCGTTGGTTCCCCACAACCTTCAGGATAAACACTGAACATCTGATCTATTTGGCCTTCATCAGTCTCAACTCTCAGATCTTTCTCAAACTCTAAATTTCAGTTCTGTACCCCAGTTTGCCATATTCTCTATTTACAACTCTGCACAAACTGTTTCCTTCTGTCATATGGCTGGGTTCTACACATCCTTCAAAAGGATGGCACCTCCTCCAAGAAGTCTTCCTTGAACCTCCCTCTTCAATTTTCTGTGCTCTGCAGCACCTGGGATCACTTCTTCCACAGCACTGACCCAGAAGCTTGTGCTTACTTGCTGTCTCCCCCAGCAGAAGGGGAGAACCTTGGGGCAGAGGCACACTAAGCTCATTGTAGTGCTACCAGGACACTTTACACACATGACCTGATTTAATACTAAAAACTCACTTAAGAGTTATTTTAATACTTTTTTATAATTGTAAGAATTGTAGTTCAAAAAGTAATTTGCCTCAGATCACATAGAATGTAAACTCCAGAATTCAAACCCTAGGCTACCTCTAATATCTGTACACTTTTGTTATATGATACTACTTTAAAAAAAAATTTTTTTAACAACATCTGTCTTTATTAAAAAGGTATGAAGAGTGAGATAGGAATATATATGTTGGGTGACAATTTTTTTTTTTTTTTTTTTTTTTGCTGCTTTGCATATGTCCATGAATGAACATGAAAGCACCACAAATACTGATAGGGGAGTTAAATTAAGCATGGTGAATTTACAAATACAAAATCTGCAAAAATTAAAAATAAAGAGAAACAAAGAACAGAAGCGTTAAGAGCAATCACTTTGCCTAACAGATCATCCTAAATATATCCTGCAGGGAGCCAAGTTTGTCATTCTCACTCAAGTGTCCCCACTCCAAAACTTTACCACTCTCCCAGCCAACTGCCTGAAGGGGGCAAAACTACAAGGGCATCCCAGCTAGCTACCAACATCCCATGAAGCAGATTAGGCTGGATTCATAAATTTACACTTTACTTTCCCCATCCATCTTTAACAAAATCTCTTTTATTATACTCATTTGATGGTTACTAATGGAAAGATGTGAGCCTCTTTCAGGTCAATTTAGAAAATATGATTTGAGCCCTTATAATGTACAAAATGTTGTGAAAAGTACTAGAAGGAATAACATCATTTTGTCACATGTAGTCATTCACCTGTTTTCTGAATAATCGGAGGGTCTAGATTCTAATTACCCTATTATATCTGTAAGTGGCTAATAGTTGAAAAGGGCTTTACAAAATTCTTACATACACACTTTTTTAATGAAGAAAAGGGTTGGAATATATTAATTTCCTAATCGCTTACTTTTTTTGTATTAGGCAAAAAAAAAACAAAAAGGCATTGAATTAAAGAGGAAACAACTATCCAAGATTTAATGAGGTCCCAAACTGTGCTAAGCATTCTACAAACATCATTAACTCAGGGAATCCTTGAAATCACTTATCCTCGGTCTTCTTATTAAGCCCAGGTTACGGATGAGAACTCGGTACCTTAAGACCTTCAATAACTTGCCCACGTTCGCCTCGCTGGTACTGCACACATCCTCCAGCACAAAGCGCCTCTTCTAGGGCCCAGGCTCCACCTTGGACCTATCTAAAAACCGATTTCGAGGCACCCACCGAGGAGCACAAACCTGTTTCACCAAGCCACGGCTGGAAGAAGCTCTTGATGGAGATCACGGGCAGATCTTTATTAATCTTGAGGGTGCTCAGGAGGGGTGCCCAGTCCACCACCCGCAGGCGGTCGGCACTGAAGTCCAGCACGCCCTCCCGGAGGCAGGTGCGCACGGCGGGCAAAGGTACCGAGTCCTGCAACGCGCACAGGTACTCATAGTGCGAGAAGAAGTCCGCTGCGCTGTCCCGGCGCAGTTTCACGGAGTCGATCATGGCCAGAGGCTATCCCGGCCACAGAGACCACTCCCGCACCCACCAGGGGCCCCGGATCTCGCCCAGCCTCTCCAGCTCCCACCGCCCAACGGCTGCGGCCCCGCACAGTGCGCAGGAGCGGCGGCTCAGCCAGAAGACCACGGCCAGGGCCCCAGGCTAGGCCAGTTCGACTACGCTGCCTTCCCGCGCTGCCTCCCGCTCTGCGGCCGTAGCCGTTGCCGTCCGCCTCATCAACCTCTGCGGCGCGGGACCGCGGTTCAAGCCGGAGGGCGGGTTCTGGCGCGGGTGGTGCGCGTAGACGTCAGCGCGCTTGCTTGCGTCCACACGCAGACTGCGCCTTCCCAAGGGGCGGGGCCTTAAGCCTGGGAGGCTGGCCAAGCTCAGAAATAGTAGATGGGTATAATGTGGAGTTTGCGACAAAGAGTTTACTTATTGATCTGAGTAAATATGTGAAATGGATGTAGCAACGCATTTTTAAAACGTGATCTAGTCCTGCCGGGCACAGTGACACAGGCCTGTAATCCCAGCGGCTTTGGAGGCTGAGGCAGGAGGATCGAAAGTTCAAAGCCGGCTTCTCAAAAGGGAGGTGCTAAGCAACAAAGTGAGACCCTGTTCTAAATAAAATCCAAAATAGGGCTGGGGATGTGGCTCAGTGGTCGAGTGCCCCTTAGTTCAATCCTTGGTAACCCCTCTTCCTCGCCCCCCCCCCCCCCCCCCCCCCCCCCCCCCCCCGCAAAAAAAAATAGGGTCTAGTCCTTGGGTAAATTATTAAAAAGTGTTCAATTCCTGGAAGTCAACCATACTCTGTCAGTAGAAAAAAATGAGATGAGAAGCTGCTCAAATCCACATGTAAATCAAATGGCTTCAGTTTTGTTTTCTGTCTTCTCTTTGGAGCAGATAAAGCTAGTATTTAACTTAGTTATAATTTTCAATTAATATTAGTTTTTAATGTTATGTTAAAATGCAAATGGGTACTTGTGGGTGACTTCTGTGTTACAGAAAGCAGATAATTTATTTTCAATAGTCCTTTTTAAAAGTTACAATTATGTTCAGTGTAATAGTTATTGAAAATAAACCGTTCACTATCAGTAGGAAAATTCAGAATCATATGCTCATTTATTTTTTTATTGGAACATTTAATTGTATATAAAATGCATTACTTTTGACAGAAACAAAATGAACTCTGGGAAAATAAACATACAGTCTGACAGTTTTTTTAAACAAACAAAAAGCTTAAACTCCTGAGGAAAGTGTCTGTGCTTGGAGTAGTCAGGACAGAGACTTACTCAATAAGGAATATATGAATAGTGGATTGTCATCCATTAAATCTTTTATGCCTCTATCAATTTCTACAAATAACCGTTAATTTCTGTAGTTTCTATTTGGCCCACATAATTGTTGGCAAATTGTAAATTGTTACATAAACTCAGTATTTTATTGTATTTACATTGAATCACTACATTTGGTATTGATGATGATGATGATGGCTAACTCTGATAATTAGTACTTTGTCCTAGGCATTATTTTTAGGCAATAAGTATGAAATTATTTCTTTTTCCTATCATCTCCTCAAGGAATATGCTTTGTGATTTGTAAATACAGTTTACAGATGAGGGCACTGGGGAACAGAGATGTTAAGTGGTATACAGCTCAGTCAGTACAAGAACCCTGAGAATTGTCTTCAAAACCTGTATTTGTATCCCTTCTCTAGACCAATGATAGTCTTCCTGTCAAGCCTTAGACATTATAGCGTTCCTCTTCTATCCATTGCTTTCTGAATATTACAACCCACTACCAACACACACACACACACACACACACACAAACACACATATGTGCATGCATGCACATACATTCCTCTAAAATTCCTCAGATATGGCCACAGTGATGACTTTGTCATGCAACATGCTCAAATTAAAATAAACATTCATATATCCAACAACCAGCTTGAACTAAAACATTACCACTTTAGTTGAAGAGCCTTGTATAACTGCCTTCCAGATCACAACTGCAGTGCCCTCAGACCCTGAGATAATTTCTTTTGTGAACTTGCTATTCATCCTTGCAAGTTTTACATTTCTGCTACATTTGTAAATAAATAGCATGTAACATTCTACTATGTTTTTGCCTGCTTCATTGTTCCCATTGCTAGGTTCTTCCACATCCATACATAGAACTTGAATTCATTCATTTTCCCTGCTATGGAGGATTCCCATATAAGAACATAAATAATTTACTTGTCTGTTTTTCTGTCAGTAAAAAATTTAAATCGTTTCCAATTTTCATTTCTCTTGCTTACTTATTCTACATGTTGGTTTTCTTTTGGTTTCCATCCTCAGCCTCTACCTTTTCTGACATTTTGCAGTTTCTTTTGCTGATTTTATCTCTGGCTCAATTTGAACTTCCCCCTCAATATTAATGGCTTCTGACAAAGATATCTCTCTCCACACATCAAATCTTGGGAATGCCAAAGATTTCTCACTACATTCAGAATCAGATCTGTATTCCTTAGCTTGGCATTTAGGCACCTTTGTAACTGGAGTACCTCCAATGATTTATTTCTTACTACATTCCTTCCTATGTGTCTTCTTTAGACACATGGAACTGCTTGAAGTTTCTGATACTGTCATTCCTACCCAGCCCTTTAATCATGCTACTCCTGAGTGGTCTAACTTCAATTTTTTCCCCCAGCCTTGGCTTGTGGGCACCATCCCAGGGAGGCCTTTTTCTCCTAACACTCATCTCTCCTATTTCTTTAGTGCCCTGCTTCTCTGCTCCCTGACGTTCCTGAAACACACACTTAGTACAAAACACTGGCATCTTTTTTACATGATTTTCCTTCCATAGTCAAGGAACATGTCTCATTCATGCTTGTATTCCCTAAGCCAATCTCGCACAGTGTTGGTACAGAAGAGGTACTGAATGATGACTAATTATTGGAACAATCTCCTCATCATCACAAGTCATCATCAGCATTTTGTGGCTGGTGCCTATTGATCCAGCTCAGGGAAGTCTCCATCATATTAATTAATCATTTAACATTTGAATTTAAAATTTATTTTTCCTGAGCTTACTCATTTTCACTGTGGCAAGATCTCTGTCAAGCCTTGCCCAACAATCTCTTCTCTGCCTCAATTAAATTATGGTTTTGTTTCTTCTTTGGATGTCTGGTGAGTTTGTTCACCCACATGTTGCCCCGAACACTATGAATGAAAGGTGCCTGTGCACAGCATCTCTGGGATCCTCTGAGAAGATGGGCTCAAACCTGGCCCAAGACAAAATGCTTTGGCCTCCCTGCAGGTGATGACTTGGGAGTGATATGCTACTGGGCAATATGAGAGATATACTCTCCTCTTCTAAGGGATCTGGTGAGTGAATGTTGACCACAATACAGCTGAAGGCATCGTGTTACCTCTTATTCACCATACTCTACTCAGAGTTGATCTTGACAATATTTTACTTGACTTCCTAGCTACTTTTCTTTCCATTGAACCACAATGCGTGTGCCCTCTACTCATCTTTGAAATTGACCCTCTTTACCTGCTCCAGAGAAGCAAGTTTTGTTGGATCCAGTCTCAGAGAACGTCAACCTGCCGACAGCATAGGCTCTCTTATTTTAACTGACATGTGGTCACTTTTCATTTTTCTACTCCCTTCCTTATGGGATATTTGCAAGTTTATCCCAAATCTCCTCCACTCTTTTCAGATTGCCACTGGACTTCATTCTAAATTCCTGCTCTCTCACCTGAAAAGGACATCTCCTATTTTAACAAGACGTAAACTTCCTTGTCTTCTTTCCTCTCACTCTGGCTACCTTCCAAACTGTGCTCTGTAATGTAGCCACTACCACTTCCCCTTCACATCCTTCTAAGATTTCCTATTGCTTTTAGGATAAAGACAAAACTCACAACCATCTCCACCCAGCATGGAGCCACACATTGGCTGCTGGTTGGGAATTATTACTGTTCTCCCAATATAAGGAGCTCACTTCAGAGTGTAAGTCACTTTTGCATTAAGGCAGTTCAGCAGGCTTTTTTAGAACAAGATTTTCTTGATAAAAGAAGCAGTGTGCTGACTTACACATTCTAGAACAAGCTCCTTACCACATTTGGCACTGGCGCTTGAACTAGCACTAGTCGACAGAGTGCAGCATCCTCCAGACATGATGTGGTATGATCTCTGCAGCCTCATCTTATACCCGAGTCCCTTTCACAGTGACCTAATTTGAGGCCTGTTTGCTTACAACAGGCCATTGATCATGCTGTACCCTCTGCCGACAGTGTACTTCCTTTCAATCTGCACCTAATTCACACCCTATATTCTTTTCAGTTCACAAGTCGCCTTGTCAAGGTAGCATTTCTTCCTTTCCTCCCTGACTCATCAAATCTCCCACCACAAGCTCTTATAACATGTAACTCTCATTCATAATCTGCATCCTATTTCACATTCATTTTAAGGTAAATATTTACTATACCTTACACGAGGAAGGAATTATGCATGTTTTGCCCGTTCTTGTGCCCCAGCAACTAGCTGCAATATCTTACTGACATTCTCTGTCAAGCGAATAAATGAACTCTCCAATTAATGACCAGGACCCTTTTAAGCATCTTTCATGCTCCTCCCTTACCTCTATATGCATTGCTATTACCTGAGTTCCACACCATTTACTATTTTCCACCTAGAGTTCGAGTATTGCTTCAGAGAATAGAGTGTCCTCTACATTCAAGCTCTTCTTTCATCTCTTACCTTGATCATGCCAGAGCCTTTCATGACTCTCATTGCAAACAGAATGTAACCCAAACTCTCAATATTGACAAACAAGACCCTCCACAATCTGGCTTTCCTGTCTCTTTTGTGTTATGGGTTTAATTATCTTTTCTCCCTTTCATCTCTGTCTATTAAAATACACATTCTTTTTTTCCAATATCTTTATTTTATTTTTATGTGGTGCTGAGAATCGAACCTAGTGCCTCATGCATGCTAGGCAAGTGCGCTACCACTTGAGCCACATCCCCAGCCCCTAAAAAACACATTCTTCCAGCGACTATCCTTATGCCTCCCTCCCTGGGAAAATTTTACTGAGAATCCAAGAAAAATATGGTTCCCATCTCTCCTTTGAACTTGCAGAAAGTTTAACAGGGCACATCTGAAACTTATATCTTATCTCTTCCTCTGGAATCTAAATATCCACAAGTTGGGATCTCTGTGTCTGTATTATGCACATAGTCATCCTGATCAGTAATTATTGAGTGAATGAATAACTG